GTCTGCCTTTCAAATAAACATTTTTTAATGGAGAGACCGGAAGGGAAACATTACCGTGTGAAGCTGATTCCTCAACCGCGTGTGCTCAGGCTCAAGTACAAGGTCAGAAAGCCTGCCAAGCAGCGCGACTTTCCGCCACGTTCCTGTGCAGTCGGGAGTGTGCCAAGCGGAAATCGCCTCTCCAGGCACAACAAGCCCTTCTCTTGATCATGTCAGTCTCAGCAAGGGTGCAGCCCCATCCCCACAGCTTGGAGACCTTCCAAGAAGCCTGCCTCAGAGGTGTAGGATTTGTACATGAATGTCGCGAAAATACCAACTCACCTCAAGACGGCCTTGACTCAAAGAGGAGGCCGGCGAGGGCAGAGGCTGAGGGAGAGCGCAGGTGCCCGACAGGAAGCCGACAGCACTCTGGTGGCAATGACGCCCACCTCCTGGGCTGTACTGCTACGTGGCGACATGACAAGCACCCCACCCCAACAGAAGGACTCCCTCCACACCGCATCCCGCAACGGTACACACACCTGAGGCAGCCCAGGGGACGGGAACGGCCCTCACACCGCACAAGGGCCAAAGGCAGAAGGCGTCACCCAGCAGACAGACGCAGGCTCACACAGGCCGAGATCTCGTGAGATCTGCACAGGCACCGAGCACACTGCCAAGCAGAGGGCAGCTCCAGCAGCATCTACGTCACTGCTGGTGCCCCCTGCCCTTCATGGTAAAGACAGGGCAGCCTCCCTCACCCAGGAACTGCGTAGGACAGGCAGCGGGACCTGGGTGACGGCAGCAGCCACTCCAGACCAGGTCCAGCCTGGGTACGCTGGGCTACGTGCAGCAGCCACCAGCTGGTTCCTAGGTTCAAGGCCTCCCACAGCATCATCAGCACAGAGCAAATGGCCCAGGCTTCTCCACGCTGAAGGGACTCTGCACCCTCACAAAAGCACTGAATACTTATCCTCAGTCCTCGAGTAGACCCCAGGTCACCCAGTGTCCACTGCCAGGCAGCGCATCTGTGAGCCACCCCATTCACCTTAGTGCCCGGGACCTGCAGTGCACGAGGGCCTGGGCAGTCTGCAGGACTGGGCCACCCAAGGTGACTTGACTGAGCGGGAGGCCCTCAGACAGCTGCCAGGTGACACGTCAAAGAAAACAGTGCCACACTGGCAAGCGAAGCCAGCGACGGCCTAATGGACAGGGCCACAGCCTGCCCACACGGGGCAGCATTACTCAGCCACAAAGACGGTCAAAGTCTGTCCTAGCCACCACCCAGATGAACCCTGAAAACACAGTGCTGAGGCAGAAGAAGGGATGTTACCAAGCACCTCAGCAGGTGGGCCATGCGCTCCTCTGGGGGACACATACAGCGCCGTGGCTCGTGGCTCGGGCGTTTCCTGGCCCCAGAGCCGCAGCGAGAGAACCCCACAACCAGCAGCCTGCATGGGTGTGCCCCAGGCAGTTAGGACTGCCCTCGCAGGAAGGGGAGCCCAGCCCAGCCCGCAGCACTGAGGGGCAGAGCAGGCACACAGCCCCGCACCAGCTGCTTCACTGTGGCGAGCATCCCGCCTCAGAGGAAACATAGTGGCTTCTCCTCCCCGCCAAGCTCAGCCCTGAGCAGTAAGAATGCCCACCAGGAAGCCCCTCCCATGCCCCTCAATGCAGCTGCCCACCCATGTGGACTCCAGGAGGGCAGCAGGCTGGTGCCAGCCCCCCAGGGAGGGCATGCAGGGAAAGACCAGCATCAAGACTGCACTCTCAAACAAACAAGGGGGAAAGACATAAAACAGTGAGGGTTTGGGAGAAAAAATTGTAAATAACAACTGTTTTAGAGAAATATAGCTAAAAGAAATACAAGTTTAAATAAGACTTCAAAGTCACTGACATCTTCAAAAGAAAAATACCAAGTCTCAAAACTCAGAGTGCGAAACAAAACGCAACTAAAGAAAAGTGAACGAGCACCCAGAGGGGCCGCTCTTTCCAGGGCGAGCGAGGAAGGCAGAGCCCCCGACGGCAGACAACATGGGACGTCACCCGGAGACCGACAGCCTGCCCGTCCCAGCGCCCAGGGCCCGGGCTCCCTCAAAGCCACCCCGAGGTTCCCATTCCCCGGAGGACAAGGGGCCTGGCAGCCCCACAGAACCATTCAGAACCAGTTCACAGCCAAGACATAATTACGTCAGCACACAGACAGCACTCCCACCATGGAGCACTAGAAGCCAGAGGGGAGAGCCACCCCCATCCCAGGCCTCACACACGGGACCCGGAGGCCCTTACACACACACACACACACACCCACGGGGACACGGAGGCCCTTACACACACACACGGGGACACGGAGGCCCTTATACACACACACGGGGACACGGAGGCCCTTACACACACACACGGGGACACGGAGGCCCTTACACACACACACATACACACACACAAACACACACACACACGGGGACACGGAGGCCCTTACACACACACACGGGGACACGGAGGCCCTTACACACACACACGGGGACACGGAGGCCCTTACACACACACACATACACACACACAAACACACACACACACACGGGGACCCGGAGGCCCTTACACACACACGGGGACACGGAGGCCCTTACACACACACAGGGACCCGGAGGCCCTTACACACACACGGGGACCCGGAGGCCCTTACACACACACGGGGACACGGAGGCCCTTACACACACACGGGGACCCGGAGGCCCTTACACACACACACACACGGGGACACGGAGGCCCTTACACACACACACACACACACACACACACACGGGGACCCGGAGGCCCTTACACACACACACACACGGGGACACGGAGGCCCTTACACACACACACACACACACACACACACGGGGACCCGGAGGCCCTTACACACACACACACACGGGGACACGGAGGCCCTACACACACACACACACACACACACACGGACCCGGAGGCCTTTACACACACACAAACACGGGGAACACGGAGGCCCTTACACACACACAGGGACACGGAGGCCCTTACACACACACGGGGACACGGAGGCCCTTACACACACACGGAGGTCCTCACATACGTAGGGACACAAGGCCCTCACACACGTAGGTGCAGATACAGAGCGCCTCATCCCTCACACACTGAAGTGGAGTGGCCCCAGCACTCCAGACAAAGTCACAGAACAGGAAAAAGGGGTGCCCGTGGCCACTTGGGGGGGCAGGGCCAGGAACAAACCTATTGCTTTTTCTCACCAAAGACTGCCCCAAACCAGTTGTGGTTAGGGTGGAGCGTGCTGCCCCTCAAAACCACAGCCAGCACCTCCCGCACCAGCACGGGCCTCACCCAGGTGGAGGCAGCTCCCGGGGCAGACCCCACGGTGGAGACCCCACAGGCCACCTGCAGCTCCACAGGCCCACAGCCACAGCCACGGCCACAGCCACGGCTGAGACCCCACAGGCCACCTGCAGCTCCACACGCCCACAGCCACAGCCACGGCCACAGCCACAGCTGAGACCCCACAGGCCACCTGCAGCTCCACACTCCCACAGCCACAGCCACGGTCCAAACCCCACAGGCCACCTGCAGCTCCACAAGCCCAAGGCCATGGCTGAGACCCCACAGACCACCCTGCAGCTCTACACGGCCACGGCCACAGACACGGCTGAGAACCCCCCCGGCCACCTGCAGCTCCACACACCCACAGCCACAGCCACGGCTGAGACCCCACGCCACCTGCAGCTCCACACTCCCACGGCCACAGCCACGGCCCAAACCCCACAAGCCACCTGCAGCTCCACAGCCACGGCTGAGACCCCACGCCACCTGCAGCTCCACATACCCACAGCCACAGCCACGGCTGAGACCCCACGCCACTTGCAGCTCCACACGCCCCCACAGCCACAGCCACGGCTGAGACCCCACGCCACCTGCAGCTCCACAGGCCCACGGCCACAGCCACGGCTGAGACCTCACGCCACCTGCAGCTCCACACTCCCACGGCCACGGCTGAGACCCCACAGGCCACCTGCAGCTCCACACTCCCACGGCCACGGCTGAGACCCCACAGGCCACCTGCAGCTCCACACTCCCACGGCCACGGCTGAGACCCCACAGGCCACCTGCAGCTCCACACTCCCACGGCCACGGCTGAGACCCCACAGGCCACCTGCAGCTCCACACTCCCACGGCCACGGCTGAGACCCCACGCCACCTGCAGCTCCACACTCCCACGGCCACGGCTGAGACCCCACGCCACCTGCAGCTCCACACTCCCACGGCCACGGCTGAGACCCCACGCCACCTGCAGCTCCACACGCCCCCACAGCCGCCACGCTCCCACAGCCACGGCTGAGACCCCACAGGCCACCTGCAGCTCCACACTCCCACGGCCACGGCTGAGACCCCGCGGCCACCTGCAGCTCCACACTCCCACGGCCACGACTGAGACCCCACGCCACCTGCAGCTCCACACGCCCCCACAGCCACAGCCACGGCTGAGACCCCACAGGCCACCTGCAGCTCCACGCTCCCACAGCCACGGCTGAGACCCCACAGGCCACCTGCAGCTCCACGCTCCCACAGCCACGGCTGAGACCCCACAGGCCACCTGCAGCTCCACACTCCCACGGCCACGGCTGAGACCCCGCGGCCACCTGCAGCTCCACACTCCCACGGCCACGGCTGAGACCCTGCTGCCCAGCCTGCAGGCACCCAAGCTCACAGGGACGTTGCCAGTGTGGGGACACGGAAGGAGCAGCTTCCCGCCAACCACCAGGTGGAATTCACAGAGGAGACTTGAACTCAATCCCAGCAAAAGCCCCTCCCTGGCAGAAACGTCACCCAAGGAGTGGCCCGACAGCCCGCACTCCTGGGAGGGCAGAGAGGGCAACCCCAGAAGCAGAGCGTGCCCCGGGGCCCAAAGCCAGCCGAGCACGTGCAAGGCCTCGGCCGGGTCATCGCGGGGAACGAGCTCGGATGGCAGCGAGAGCCCGGGAGGGCCGGGGACGCACCTTGTGGCAGGCCGGGCAGGTGGGCACGCCCTTGCCCGCGGGGCCCCCGCCGCCGCCGCCGCTCAGGCTGCTCTGGATCTGCGTGAGCTCCTGCCGCAGCACCTGCTTCTGGTGGAAGCTGAAGGCCGGGTGGTTGGAGGCCATGGTGAAGAGCAGCAGGAACTCATCGCCCGTGCGGCCCTCGTTGAGCTGCAGCCCGTAGTTGTGGATGATGGAGTCGATGTGCGTGAGCGTGCGGTAGAGCACGCCCGCCGCCTCGCGCTGCTCCGAGCCCAGCAGCGCGAGCGACACGAGCAGCTTGCTGCGCACCACCTCGTCCGTCAGGTTGGTGAGGCTGCCCAGGTCGGCCGGGTTGTTGGCCTTGATCTCCGAGTCGCGCAGCGAGTGGTAGTCCTTGCGCGCCAGGTCCTCGAGGCACGAGCCGAGGAAGCGCAGCTCGAGCGGGATGCACAGGTCCAGCAGGCCGCACAGGAACTCGACGCGCTGCGGCGACGGCAGCTCCGAGAACCAGCGGTACACGCCGTCCCTCTGCAGCGGGCAGCGCTTCTCCACCATGCTGCCGCCGGGCGCGCGGGGGCCCCCCGCCTGCAGCGAGCGGCCTCGGCGGGCCCGGCGCTCACGGCCGCGCAGCCTCCCCGTGCCCAGCGGCGGCCGCGGCGCGCCTCGGCGGCGTCGTCGTCGTCGTCGTCGTCGTCGTCGTCGCCCCGGAGGCGGCCGCCCCCATCGCCCCGCGCGCCGCAGGGTCCGTCAGCGCGGGCCGCCGCCCAGCCGGCCGTTGGCGGGGAGCGCCGGGAGCCGAGGCCGCGGCGGGCAGGGACGCGCGGCGGCGCGGAGGGATCCGGAGCGGACACGGCCGGCCGGGCCTGCGCGAGTGGGCGGCGGGCGGGGGGCCGCCCCTCGCGACGGCCGGCGCCGGCCGCGCCCGCCCCCGCCGCCGCCCATTGGCCCGGCGCGCCCGTGACCGGGCCGGCTCCCCGAGGCCATTGGCCCGCGCGGCGGAGGCCACGCCTCGCGGGGCGGGCCGTCCGTCACGTCAGGGCCGCGATTGGCCGGCGCGGGGCGGCCGGGCGGAAGACCCGGGCCGGATCGCCGGCCGCTTTTGTTCCCTCAGGCTTGCGTGGAGGCCGGGGCGTCGGGCCGGCCTGGCGGCCTCGGGGCGCGGCGGCGCGGGGCGGGCGGCCGGTGTCCTCCCGGGGCGGGCGGCCCGTGTCCTGCCGGGGCCGCCGGCGTCCGCGCCCCGCCACGCCGGCCTGCGCCCGTGCGCGCTGTGCGACCTTGGGCCAGTCGCTTGGCCTCTCTGAGCCGCGGCCGCCTCCCCCGGGGAAAGCTGGGGTAATAATAGCCGGTGAGCTCACAGGCTGCGGGGCGGGACGCAGCGTGGCCGCCTCCTCCTCAGCCTGGACCGGCCTGGGGCACGGTCCCCTTCGGACCCGAAGGAAGCCCCCGCCCGTGCCCTGGGCAGAGGTGGCCTGCGCAGGGTGTCACGAGGTGCTCCTGGCCATAGGCCCTCAGGGCGCCCCTCAGCCCTGCTCCCAGGGCACCCCGAGTGGGCAGGCCAGGCGCAGGGACCCGCTCCAAGCCGCAGACCCCTCCGGGCCGCCTCTGCTCCCTCCTGGGCAGCCGGTCCAGCACCCCGGCTCGGACAGCACCCCGCTTGCGCCGCCAGCACCGTGACCTTGGCTGTCCCTCTGCTGGCCGGCCCCTCAGACTGACCCCACGCGGGAGCAGGTCAGGCAGGTGTGATTAAATGAGGTGAGATGGCACCGGGATGGCCCCACGTCCCGGGGACTGTCCCCACCCCAGGAGGACAGACAAGCCAGGGGATGAATGAAGGCAGAGAGGCACCTGGGTCCGCCCGGCCTGGGAGTGGCCACCCCGAGCTGTGAAATCCTGCCATTCAGTGTGGCTCCACACCCCATACCTGGTCCCTCCCGAGGGCAGCACCCCTCGGGCCAGCACGCCCCAGCCCTACCTATGAGTCGCTGCCTGCCTGGGCACCCCACTCTGGGACAGGCTGGACCCCTGCCCAGCCCAGGGCACTCTCTGGGGCAGGTGTGGACCCTCCTCCGGCCCAGCCTCCTTCCTTCCACCCCAGCCCCCTGGCCCCTCCTCTGCAGGGCTCCAGGCCTGGTCGTGGGAGAGCTGGGGGTCCCGAGGAGAAGCCCCCAGGCTGCTGGCCACGGGCTGAGCGTGTGGGGCTGTGTGGGGGAGCCCCGTGCCTAGCGTGGGCCGTGGGGGTCGTCCCTCAGGCTGAGGGCTGGCGAGGCCGGGACTGCCCCTCCACAGCTCTCCCAGCGGGTGCTGATTCAGACAGAGAGGAACTCAGATTTACCACAGACTTGCCCGATTTCGCAACAAAGCCACAGCTTCCCCGGCTGCTGCTCGCATCGGAACCGGTGACACCGAGTGGGATGTGGCTGCGGTCGGCTGTCTGCGGTAATCAAACCCCAGCCCTGCTGCCATCCGGCCATCTGCTGGTCGCGGAGAGCAGTGGCTGCTTGGGGTTCAGACAGTGAGGACAGAGCTTTGAAACGAGGGGGGTCAGCTTCCAGAGTGAGGGCTGCCGATGTACCCTGCTGTGTGGGTAGCTCAGAAAGCAGGGGGGCCTCCAGTGCACCCTCCATCCTTCCCTCGGCCTGAGCCTCAGCACCCCTAACGTGGCAGCTGGAAGGTGAGGGGACCCAGGGCTTCTGCATCCTGACAGCCGTGGGTGCACCCTGGTGGCTGTCACCCACTGTCGCAGTTCCCCCTCTCATGGATGCCACTCGGGGTCCAGCCCAGCTGCACTCAGTTCACGCCAGAAGTGGGTTCTGACCCGACTCCCCTGCCCACAGACCCTGCCCCACCCACAAGGTCACAGGGGCCAAGCTGTCTATTCAGGGTGTCTGTAAGTCCAGCCCAGGTGTGGGCTGCACGCCCGCCTTGCCCGGCCCGGCCCAGGTGTGGGCTGCAAGCCCGCCTTGCCCGGCCCGGCCCAGGTGTGGGCTGCACGCTGCCTTACCCGGCCAGCCGTGGCTGCTGACAAAGTCCACCTGCAATCATGAAGGGGCACTTGTCCCCGCGCCACGCCCGGCCCTGCTCTCGGCCTGGAGAGTGGCAATCTGCTGCTCGAGGTGGCTGCTCCTCCCCAGGGGAATTCTCCCCAGACCCCCCGGACCTGGCAGCTCCGTCCGGTCTCCCACATGAATTGAGGGGCCTGAGAGCTTTAGGCACCTTCTCTTTGTACAGTTGTTTATTTTGATGTTGTTTACATAGTTGAGAGAGATGTGCTCGTATGTGGCCTCTGATGAGGCTGGGGGACGGAGGAAGGGGGTGGGATCAATGCTACAGGTTTTTTTTTCTCTGTCCACTGGAGAAGGGGATGGGGCCACTTCTTGCTGTCACACGGCGTCAGCACCCAGGGATGGGGGCCGTGGCTTGATGTGTTGGAGACCTCTGTGAGTGGAAGAGCGTCGTGTGGGGGTCACTTGAGTGCTCTTGGTCGTCCCTACACGTCGTCAGCTGCATTGCACCGGGGTTGAGAAAAGCTGCAAGGTCTGTTGGCTGGGACCATCTTCTGCTCCTTCCCCAGGCACATTAGCAGGGGCCAGAGGGGAAGTGGAACTTGAACTGGCGGCCCTGTGTCACGGGCAGATGCTTAGCTCATTGCACCCAACACCAAGCCCTCGCACCTTGACGCTATGTAGTGTCTTTAAATCTGCACACACAGGCCGTGCTGTGCCGTGTCCACGGGGCCCGCCACCGGCAGGGAGACCCTGCTTGTCTCTGTCCAAGGCCGCCTGTTGGTGGCTTCCCCCGTTTCTTGTTAGGGTGTTCACCTGTGTGTCTGTAAGAGCTACGTGGTTTAAGCGTTGTATGCGCTCTGAGTGTTGGGGCAGAGCCCCTTGCGTGGCTCAGGGTGGCGTTCTCAGCAGTGGGACTGGGTTTTGGGAGGGGTGGGGCAGCAGCATGCCTTCTTAGTCCTCTGCCATTAGATTTATTGATCTTTCATTCCACCTCGGTCTTGAGTCGTGGTGAGAGCAGCTCTCCCCGCACACTGGTTGTGAAGGAATGAGCCCACGCTTCCTTCCACCATTAACACGCTTTCCTTTCTTCCACACTGAAGCCTCTGGTCCACACGGAGCTCACTGCTGTGGGAAGCATGATGTGGTTAACCCACCCGGACAGAACCCAGGGCTGCCAGCTAAGGGGCGGGCAGAAGGCGTACCAACGGAGCTGATGCCTGTGGCCGGTCAGACCAGAACCTGCGGCCTGCCCTAAGCAGGGGCTCCCGCTGCGGAGGCCAGCACCGGCTTGCCGGACCCAGGAGACGCCACTTCCGGCCTCCCCGGTGTCCCTCGGCTTTCAGTGCCCGGCTGTGTTCACACGCAGCCACCTGTGAGCGTGTGTGTGCAGGCATCCAGCGAGCTGCCCACTTGTGCTTCACAGTCCTCTGTGGAATGGGCACAGGGCACAGAACATGGCGGGAGGACTGAGGGGGCCCCTTCCGGCCAGTGCTGGGCAGTGCTCAGAAAGTTGTGGCTGCCATGACTTTCAGAAGCGACTTTGTCCCCGTGCACAGATGGCTCCGGTGCCACCCACCTGGACTAGTGCCAGCTCCCGAAGCCCAGGAGCGCCCTGACCTTTGTGTGGGTCCATGCACGTGTGTGCCGGGGTGCATGTGTGTGTTACGTGTGGGTGCTTGGAGAGACGTGCTCCGTGTGTGAATGGTGTGTGTGCGTGAATAGATGTGTGGTATACGTGTGTGTTGGTGTGTAGGGGGTATGACGTGTGGATGCGCCTCTGTGTGTCAGCGTGTGTATAGATGCAGTGTGTGTCTGCATGGGGAACACCCTGCACCTGCACTGGGCCACCTTCGAGTCAGCCGTGACCAGTCCCTGCAGGCCCCACCTCTGGCTGGGAAGGCTGAGGGGGCAGCGTGAGGGCTGTGGGGGGAGACGGTCCCGTGGGTCAGCACCTCTTGATGATGGCGATACAGGACCAGAGCAGTTGGGTCACTTGCAGAGGTCAGCCAGCTGCCAGGGCCAGGCCTCTGGCTGTGGCATCACCGTGCCTGCTGGCAGCCCAGCCAAGCGTTTGGCAGGGAGAGCAGGAAGGGCAGACATGCCGTGGACAGCACGTCCACGCCTCGTTTAGCCACATGTTCTGAAGCCGCCGGCTGGCTCTCTGCACCTGCAGCGGAGGGGCTGGCGGCCGGGCAGCGAGGCAGGCTCCCCACGGTCCAGCTGAGCCTGCTGCTCAGCACACACCACAGGCCCGCTGTCCTCGTCCCCGCTTGGGACAGAGCGGAAGGCAGAGAGGAAGAACAGACCCGTGGTCCCTTGTCTCCCCTGGTCACCCCAGCAGCACAGGGCTCTCCTGGCCGCCTCGTGGCCTTGGCCTGTGCGTATGACCCCAGCTGCCCTGGGGCTTCTGTGGAAGTGCGCACATATGTGATACATACCACATGCAAATGTGTGGTACATGTATGTGTGGTGAAACCACATGTGTGTGACATGTGGACTCACGTATGGTACATGTGCGTAAGTTTATGCTGCGTGTTAATGTTGGTGTGT